ATTCTAAGGCTGGATTCACTGCTTTAATCAAGCGCCGCACCTTCCACTAAGTATATGTGATGGATCTTGTGATGCTCCAGTGCTGCCTCTCCCCTCATCCCTCCTCCCCTCGTCCCCTCACACTGCGCTGCCACCCTGGCTGGAAGCTGTCCTATCTCAATCATTCACACCACCTCATCTTTACCTGCCTTCCCACCTCGTTGTGGGAGATTCAGCACAGCGAACGCTGTTCATTGACACACACATCAGCACATTCCCAAACTGCACTCACCGGGTGCTGCTGTTCCCACACAGTGATTTATCCCGAGTCTCCGATCCTCATGTTGTCACAGTTTGTGCACTGAGTGTGTCAGGTGCCTCAGTCCGCTTCTTACTGTTATTAATTCTTGGACCACTGTGAACTCCAAGCCAGTGTGTGCCACGCTGGAGTTTGCCGCAATCTGATTTAACCTCAGTAACAGTAGAGCAAATGCAGTGTGAATCGCTGAATCTTCCCACTTCTCTCCTCTCCTATGACAAAGTTTCACAATTGCGGAAGTTTCAGTTTGAGTCACACATCAGTCACTAAAGCAGTCCAGAGTCTAATTCATGGATTGAGTGACCAATTTATTTTTGAAGGTAAACAGGCGTGTGGAGTAAGAAAACTTAATTGTAAGTGTGAATGCAAAGTGCAAGGTGTGAATGCCATATACAGGCAATTAGTTGGAGAGAATTAGTTCTAAATGAGAGATTCTGTCTCATTTGCGGCATTTACAGACACTTCAGAAAAAGCAATCTGTGATTTCAGACACTGAATCCTCCATGAAGAGTCTCAGATCTTTACCTCCTTCTCCATTAGGATGGGTAATGGAGACAGAAGTCCTGTTAGTTACTGTGGAGTCCTCTATCTTAGTGGTTGGAGCACTTACCTCGCAAGCGAGAGGACCTGAGTTCAATTCCCGGCAGGGCGAAACGTTCGTCCAGTTTCCTTGAGAGAGAGTGTAGCTGCTACTGCCCTGTCACAGATGCACTCCCACTCCCAAGCCAGGCTTCTCGCACCCTCTCCCTGCAGTGAGATAGATTAGTGACTGTGCTACAGTGTGGATAACGAAGTCTCCAAAGCCTCATTTATAGAAGGGGCTCCTGGCCAGCAGAGCAGCACCAATGTATTGGATAGTGTTACTGGCACAGGAGGTGAGGGAGGGGCACGGGGGGGGGGGGGGCACGGGTGGAGAGGGGGGGCACGGGTGGAGAAGGGGGGGCACGGGAGAAGGGCGGGGCACGGGAGGGGGTGCACGGGAGGTGCTTCTGTTTAACAACCTAGCAGCAAGAGGAATTGGTTGTTAGTCGATTGGCAGATCGCTTTTCCAGGGATAATAATCCCTCCAAAATAAATGAATAAATAATAATTTGGTCTGTTGATCCACGACTGTTTGTGGGACGCTGCTGTGCACAATTGGCTGCCGCATTTAACACTGTAGTCAATTCACTTTACAGTATATTCTGTGAAGCGCTTTGAGGCATCTGGAAGACGTGATCAAATGCGGTGTCAAATGCCGGGTTATTATTAATGGTAGTCCTGGCTCGGCCCCGGGATCCGTTACTGTGAAGCTCTGAGATGTCATTCGGCGTGGAGGGCGCTGTATAAATCCAAGTTGTTGTTGTTGTTGTTGTTGTGAAGCCCGGCTGCTCACACGGGACCTGCCTGTGATTATTATCATTTAGACGGGAGTGGAGGTCGCAGACCGCGGGGCAGAGCCGAGGCCTAGCTGTGGGTATAAAGCACAGCCAGGTGAGGAGCCACTCAGACGGGAGCGGAGGTCTGGAGCGCAGGACGAGGTAAGTGACCGAGGGGAGGGGACGCGATTCACAAAGTGAAGTCGGCGTGATGTCACAGCTAAAAAAAACAGCAACAACAACAACAATGGCCTGGCAGCCGTTGCCGTGACCTGGGAGGCTGAACCTGAGGCTGACGCTCTCCCGTGATCGCGCCGCCCCGACCCGAGCCTCCTCCTCCCCCTCCACTCTAAATCTCTTCTCCCACTCCCCTCTATCCACTACCCTCCTCTGTCCTTCTCTCCCACCGCCCTCCCCACCTCTCTCTCCCCTCGACCCCATCACCACTCCCCTCTGCTCCAGCCTGGGCATCCTCCGCCGGGCCCATCGTGGCTGCCGGCACTGGCTGTCCCAGAGCAGCAACTCCACGTGTCCCATCACTCCCTCCCTCCGCACAAACTGCCTCCTTAAGGCAAACCCAACTTCCCCGTCCCTCATACGTACCCTCCTCAACTCTCCACTCACACCACTCGCCACAACTAACCTCTGTGTACACCCACAAATCCTCTCCACACCACTCTCTCCTCCCTCTCCTCCCTCCCCTCCCTCCAGCAAACCCACCCGCATTTCCCTCCAAAACGTCCGTTCCTTCTCAAATAAAGCCCTCACCATCCATGACCTCATCCTGGCTACACCTCCCACCAAACCCCCCGTCCAAACCAATGCCTCCCTTGGTCTTACCAATGCCTCCCTTGGTCTTACCACGCCTAATAATAATCCCTCCAAAACCAAAAACAATAATTAAATTGGTCATTTTCAATCTACGACTGTTTGTGGGACATTGCTGTGCGCAATTGGCTGCCGCGTTCGCCCACAAATATACAGTCAATTCACTTTACAGTGTGTTCTGTGAAGCGCTTTGGGACGTCCTCCTGACGTGAAAAGCGCTATATCAAATGCAAGGATTATTATTATTATTATTACTCCTCTGGCTGCTTCCCCTCCTTCGAGCACCTCACCCTCTTCCACTCTCTCCCATTGAAAATCCTCCTTGTCTACCGCCCCCCTAAGCCCCCCGGCTCCTTCCACACAGATATCTCTACTCTCTTCTCTTCCCAGTCCCTCTGCTCCGAGCGCCTGTTCATAATGGGTGATTTCAACCTCCACCAAAACACCCCTTGCACTACCTCTGCCAACTTCACTGCCCTCCTCTCCACCCTAAACTTCACCCTTCATATAAATTCACCTACCCACAACTGTGGTCATGCCTTTGACTTCGTTATCACCCACGGCCTTGACATTTCCGACCTCAGCATAGTGGACAAGGCCCTCTCAGACCACTTCCTTATCTCCTTCTCCTCTCACATCCCTCTCTCCTCCACCAAGCCTTCAACCATCCTCTACCGCCCTTGGAAAAGGCTACCCCCCGAGACCCTCACAAAGGCCCTAACATCATCAAACATCCTATCGCTCTGGCCTTCCACCTGCGGAGATCCTGAAGCAGCCGTCCAGCTGCTCCATGTTTGCCTCTCCGCCACCTTCAACTCCCTCCTCACCCTAAAATCCAGGACCATCCCCAAACCCACCCGATCCCCCTGGTACAACAACAATCTCCTTGTCCTCCTGGAGCTCTCCGCGGCGTTCGACACAGTCGATCATACCATCTTTCTCCACCGCCTTTCCTCCATCATCCAGCTCAGTGGGACTGCACTCGCCTGGTTCGAGTCCTACCTCACAAACCGCCCACAGTACATCTGCACAAATGGTTTCTCCTCCCGCTCTCACCCGGTTACCTGCGGGTACCCCACGTATCCATCCTTGAACCCCTCCTCTTTCTGATCTATATGCTCCCTCTTGGGGTGTCATCCGCAGACATGGGATACATTTCCACATATACGCGAATGACACCCAACTCTATTTTTCCACCTCTCTTTGTGACCCCCAGTCCCCTGATGTTCTGTCACCCTGCCTGTCAGATCTCAGGGGCTGGATGAGCGTAAACGTTCTTCAGCTGAATGTTGCCAAGATGGAAGCCATACTCTTTGGCTCTCATCAACGTCTAAAATCTCACAGTTCTCACCTCCTCCACCTACCCGACCTCCCCCTAAAACTCTCTGAACCTGTACGCAACCTAGACGTCAGGTTCGATCCCAAATTATCATTCCTCCCCCACATCCGGTCCCTCACCAGCACCGCTTTCTTCCACCTCCGACGCATCGCCCGAATCCGCCAATACCTCTCTCCGAAAGCTGCTGAAACCCTGGTCCATGCCTTTGTCACCTCTCGGCTGGACTATCCTAACGCCCTCCTCGCCGGTCTCCCATCCACTGCCATCCATAAAATCCAGATTATTCAAAACTCTGCCGCCTGCACTCTCATCTGCAAGAAACTCCGCTCCCCGATCACCCCAGTCCTGCCCCCCCATCCTCCCCACCCCAAACTCCGCACCCCGATCACCCCAGTCCTCGCCCCCCATCCTCCCCCACCCCCAAACTCCGCACCCCGATCCCCCCAGTCCTGGCCAGACTGCACCGGCTGCCTGTCCCAGAGAGGATCGATTTAAGATCCTCGCCCTTGTATTCAAGTCCCTCCACTCCTCTGCACCCCCCAACCTCTCTGACCTCTCTCCTCAAAACAGTATCCGTTGCCTTCGTTTCTCCGGGTCTGGCCTCCTCCTCGTCCCCCAAGTCCTCCGCTCCACCCTCGGTGGCCGTGCCTTCAGCCCCTGCGCCCCGAGGCTCTGGAACTCCCTTCCTCACTCCCTTCGCCTCACCCCCTCTCTTCCCATTTTCAGGTCTTTGCTCAAGACCTTTCTTTTCGACCGCACCTTTGGTCACCTACCTCCCCCTCCCCCACCTCTCCCTGGCCCCTCCCCCACCTCCTCCCCTGGCCCCCCCCCACCACCTCCCCTGGCCCCTCCCCACCTCCTCCCCTCCCCACCTCCTCCCCTGGCCCCACCTCCTCCCCTGGCCCACCTCCTCCCCGGGCCCCTCCCTGGCCCCTCCCCTTCCCTGGCCGTTCCCCTGGCCCCTCCCCTCCCCTGGCTCGGCCCCGGGATCTGTTACTGTGAAGCGCTCTGAGACGCTGTCCGGTGTGGAGGGCACTATATACTTCCAAGTTGTTGTTGTTTACTGACATTTACAGTCACTGATGAAACACTGCGCTGCCATTGCCCCGCCCCCTGCGTCAGAGGCTCCGCCCCTTAGTTATGGGGCGCGGTCCACTGTGCTGACGTCACTTCAAGGTGGGACGGACTTGCTGACGTCAGGCGCCGGAAGTGACGGTGGAACGAAACATGGCGGGCGGCGGAGAGTTCGGGAATCCGCTTCGCAAGTTCAAGCTCGTCTTCCTGGGGGAGCAGAGCGGTGAGTGACCCCCACCCGCCCCGGAGCCCCGGAGCCCCGCTACAGCCTTCGGCCGCCGCACAACCATCGGCCCCGTCGCCGCACACAGGCCTCGGCTCGGAGTCGGTCTCCGGCCCAGCAGCCAGGAGGGTCCGTGACGGCCATAGGGGCTCTCCTCCCGCCCACGCCCCCCCCTCCCGTGCCCCCCCCTCACCTCCGTTGTCCCTCCTCACCGCCCGTGCCGCCTCTCCCGTACCCCCCCCTCCTCCCGTGCCCCCCCCCCTCCCGTGGCCCCCCCCCTCCCGTGCCCCCCCCCTCCCGTGCCCCTCCCTCACCTCCCGTGCCCCCCCCCCTCCCGTGCCCCCCCCCTCCCGTGCCCCTCCCTCACCTCCCGTGCCCCCCCCCTCCCGTGCCCCCCCCCTCCCGTGCCCCTCCCTCACCTCCCGTGCCCCCCCCCCTCCCGTGCCCCCCCCCCCTCCCATGCCCCTCCCTCACCTCCTGTGCCAGTAACACTATCCAATACATTGGTGCTGCTCTGCTGGCCAGGAGCCCCTTCTATAAATGAGGCTTTGGAGGCTTCGTTATCCACACTGTAGCACAGTCAGTAATCTATCTCACTGCAGGGAGAGGGTGCGAGAAGCCTGGTGGGAGTGGGAGTGCATCTGTGACAGGGCAGTAGCAGCTACACTCAGTATCTCTCCCGAGCCGTACCTGATCTGATATCGTGATCGCACAGTGCACAGGAAAACCTGATTGAATCTAAAATCATACACATAGTCCGTGAGGATTGAAAGACATCACAAGTTGTCAGTATTCTGAATGAATGTGAGCTGCATTTTGCTTGTCAACTGCCCTGAAATGGAGCCTCAGTGAAAGTGCCTGTGTGATGGGTCGATGTATCTGATGACAAGTCGCTGGGAATGTGTAACTAAAGCCTTGTCCCATGGTTACCACTCTGACTTGTGGTCTTCGCTCTGTTCCTCCAGCCTCCCTTTTATATCATGAGCAGCATCCATTTTAGCAGTGATAGTGATCCTGTGTCCAGCGTGACATAATACTGAGCTCCACTGGGAAATTAATGATGTTTGCATGTAATGGGGTCCAGACATCAAGTGTGGAACTGCCATGTGTATTGTACGTCCCACTCTCAGTATTTATAATAGTGAGTTCTTGAATGGATTAGGTATATATTTAAGAATGTAATATTTTAAATAAAGGTGCTCTTTGATGTGTTGTGTTAAGTGGAGCCTCCAGTGTGCTTGCATCCGTGTGCTGCTGGCAAATTAATATATAAACCAATCTGTCACTAGCACCACCAGTACTTCTCTCCTCACGTTCTGTAGTTCACATAGTTGTTGATATGAAAAGATTTGAAAAAATCTGGACAGTCAGGGATCTCGACCCGAGTTGGGGATCATAGAGGATAGGGGTGTCCCGAAGGCTCGGTCGAATAGGAGTATTTTGAAACGCGCCTTGAAGGAGGCAAGGGAGGGAGCAAGGCAAAGGGAATGTGGGGTGGAGTTCCATAGAGTGGAGGCAGAAAGGCTAAAGGGCCGGCTGCCAATGGTGATGAACTATGGGCAGAAATACCATGTACTGTGTTCTAATTGCTGATTCCAAAACTTGTGCTCTATCACAATTTTAGTCTGGAAGGGCAGAATCAGTAATTGTATTGTAGAGAGGGGTGGGCATGCCACGCTTTAAATCAACTCAGGAACTGGTGTCTCTTAGTGTAGCTGATATGGCCTTTGAGTGATATTCAGGTAAGGGATTGTGGCTCGTCACAGCCATCTCTAAAGAATTCTCCCGAGTGTGTGTTGAGCAGTTAGTGATGCTTATGTGTTAGTATTTGTGAATTTGCTCTGTCTGTGTGTCAAGCTCCATCACGTTAAGTGCTCCAAGACGATACCTGCGTGAAGGGTTCAAAATAAATGCAAATTGTTGTTTCCTTTGGGCTGATCTGAGAAACATTTCTATTGCAGTTGGAAAGACGTCCTTGATAACCCGATTCATGTACGACAGTTTTGACAACACTTATCAGGTGAGTGACTGGAACATTTTAATATCTGTGTGGATCTCTTATCCTCCCATGCGTCTCCATATCTGTGGCATTGGTGCTGTTAGGTGAAATCAGAAGGTCTTTAAAATGGTAATCCATTCTCATGAATGTGTGGGTTGCGGCTTTGTATGAAATCATAAAACTTCATAAGGCTAAGGGGAAAACCCACCTACGTTGTGTTCATCAACTTCGGCATCAACTTTTGACCTAGTATTTCATGAAGCCCTCATGATAGTGAAGCCACAGGAATACGTGGTGCCTTCACTGCACCCTGGAGGCTGAGGTAGCTTCCCAGTGAGCTAGGTTCAATATCTCTTTCTCAAGTCTCCCTGTATGAGGACCTGGATTAAACATTTGAGAAAGAGTAATCTTGGCATTGGTCCTTGCTGAGCATACGGTGGGAAGGTTGCCAAGTCCTGTGCAATGGCTGCCACTCTCACAAGCTGCCCTGTATGAGTGCTCAGCAATGGTCGGCTACGTGGGTTTAGCTGGTTAAACCAGCAGTGCACACTCTGGGGTCCCCAAGCTTCGGCTGTTGCCAAGCTACACCTACATTCTCTGGGATTGGGTAAGCGGTTCAGGATGGTGTCCACGTTGGTTATTAGTGGACAAAAGCCGCTTCCTGATTTTAATCCTCTTCATGCTTTGAGCTTAAACTTTGTAAATTGACCAAAGAAAGCCTGGTGTTCAAATTGTTGATTTTGGTCCATGTTAATCTCAAGTTTTCTGTTTACAGGCCACAATTGGAATTGATTTTTTGTCTAAAACAATGTATTTGGAAGACCGCACGGTGAGTAGCAATGCGTTTAACAGCCCATGATTTGGTGTCTTGCTGCTGTATAAAACCTCCTCGACTTCCCTTATTCCTAACCTCCTGGGGGTGTGTATGTGTGTGGGATAACTTGCTGCTGTCTGATGAATTCTTTTCCCGACATTATTTGTAGAAAACTTTTCCAAGCTGAGATGGATTGTCTTGTGTTGCTGTGTACTGCGTTAGTTCCGTATTACTGTCATACATTAATTTCTGTTTGTACAAAGCTGAGGTCATATACATCTTTCTTCCACAGATGCTTATTTTTGTTGTATAAATGAATATTTTATCATCTCTTGTGTGGGTGCTTTGTCCAAAGTGCACAGACTCTGAGACATTTCTGTAGCTGCTTCAAGAGAAGCTTGAAAGTGACTGAAAAATGAGGATGAGCAGATTTCCAGCGTGGAATCCTGTAGCTCAGTGGTTAGAGCACTCGCCTCGCAAGCCAGAAACCTAGGTTTGATTCCCGGCAGGGCAAACCTTGGGCAAGTTTCCTTACTCAACACGCCTGATAATAATCCCTCAAGAAAAAAATAAATAAATTGGTCCCTTCAATCCATGACTGTTTGTGGGACGCTGCTGTGCGCAATTGGCTACCGCGTTTGGCCACAAACATACAATCAATTCACTTTACAGTCTATTCTGTGAAGCGCTTTGAGACGTCTAGAAGACGTGAAAAGCGCTATATCAAATGCAAGGATTATTATTTTATTATTTAACAATGGATCCTTTCCTTGTTTGTCTGAAACATTCCTAGTTGTGTGTGGGACAGGACCCGCAGCTGGATTTGCCCTCATTGTCGGAACACTCGCCTGCCTTTCCTGCAGATCAACTGCTCCTCTTTGGTAATGTTACACATAACTGTCAGTTCTCCAGCCCATTGGTAGAGTCGGTGATGAGAATCTGATCTGTTTTAATAATAATAATCCTTGCATGTGACTTTTCCAAGACTTAAGCTGGTCACTTTAATTGAGCCAGTGTATTGGGTAAGATTTATGGAGATAACCAACAGCACTGCTTTCTATACGTGGCCCAGTCACTAAGGTGCACTTGAGACTCTCGGCTCTTAGCACAAACTCTGAACTTGCTGCAGCCTCAAACTAGCAGTTTACGTTCACCAACCAACAGCTTTACATTATCGTAGCTCTAGTTTCCAGCTGAGAGGTCAGGACGTGGTGCCTGCTGCCGTGGTGTTCTGTGCTGCCAGCAGGAGACATGAACCAAAGCTGGGCACTTGAGATAGCAAAATCTTAAGCTGCCCTTTGACTACGTTCCCAGTATTAACATGTTGTTGCTGAGTCCTGGCATCATGTGATTACAGGAATGGGTCCAGTCTCCTTCCTCTTTGTTTACTCTGCTTTCCAGGCTTCCTGCATCCTTTATTTTATGGTTACAGTGTGGGTTTTCTCCTATGTTTTCCCATTTGGTTTCTCCCCTCTGCTCCTCCACTCAGATCAGACTCCAGCTGTGGGACACTGCAGGTCAGGAGCGATTCCGTAGCCTGATTCCCAGCTACATCCGTGACTCGGCTGCTGCTGTTGTAGTATTTGATATTACAAGTAGGTACTTAGTGTGTGTCAGCGTTTTAATCCCAGTCCAATCAGTGACCTTAATAAATCTAGACTGTGGGATTACCTGGTAATTAACATCACTTCATTCAAAATAACTGCTTACTTAACACACCAAGTGATGTGTGGTTTTAATAAAATGCCCTTTTTATGCTATCGAGCTGGTGTAATTCACTGACTAACTTACTTTCAGCGCCATGAAGGAAGGTGAAGGAACTGGGGAGTTTAGCACCGTGCACAGCACAGTGACACCAGTGAATGGGGAAAGCTGCATCAGGCTTGGGGGATGGGATCTGAACTGACCAAATTTATTGATTGACTATTACAAAATAATCTGGATATTTTTAGGTAAAATTGGCTAAAAACTAAGTAAGGATTCGTATCCGTATCAGTTTATCACTGAATCCTCATCTGGTGTTGGAGAGAGTGGAGATTCACTTCCCATAGAGTTGGCTTTGAGTCTTAAGTTGTAATACAAGACTCCAGGTCTTTGTACAGCCTGTGTATAGTGCCATACACCATAGGCTGCCTATTATTAACAAAAATGTCCTTTGAAGCCTGGGAGCCAAAGGATGGAACAGGGTTTTTTCTGGAGGGATGCAGGTGGCTGAGATTACAAAGGCTTTATTCTCATAATGTTGCTCAAATAAGTTCCAATTTGTTCAGCTTGTTTTCTGAAGGAGCTGAGCTGCCGTACATACCACACTCACCAGATCAGACTCTGAATTCAGCCGAAATTTATTGGCGACCTTTGGGGTTCACTGAGCTGTCATGGTGGCGGAACAAAAACTCCAGACACTGCACTAAGACGCTGTGGCTGTCAAATGCTATTTTCGTATGTTTTCCTCCTTTCTATTTTTCATGTAACAAGTGGAGCCTGTGAACAGCTCCTGGTGAATACCATTAACTGCTCAATGCTGAAATGACTGCTTGATCCTTTCCTTTCTCCCTCTGCCCTTTCTCTCTCTCTCTCTCCTTTCTCTCTTTGCTGTCCGGGGCTTGGTTTGTGCAGGTTCGACTGCAGCTGTGGGATACAGCCGGCCAGGAGCGCTTCCGCAGCCTGATTCCCAGCTATATCCGCGACTCCACTATTGCTGTTGTTGTCTATGATATCACAAGTGAGTGAGAATTTCTGCTTGGGCTTTCATTCTGAGCTCCCTGACATTGCTGTGCATGATCTGGATTTGTCTCTAACACAACTGTTGGTTCTTGATAAACATTTCAGTGTTGATGAACAGAAGTGACTCTTAATACATTGGGTAGTGTAGTCAGGGCAGAAACATTAACGTGCCCACCTTGTGAAGGATATGTTTGGGGCCAGGATTCCTCACCCCCAATGTATCCCTTGAAGATTGGTCATGTGGTCTGACCTGGTTCCTCCAATCTCACCTGAGCTGAAGGTTCATGTGCTTTTAAAACAATTATTCAATTTCCATTAAGATTGGCTTTAGAACATGGGGGAGGGGTCACCTTTTGCTCTGTCCTTCAGGAGGTGATGTGTCCTTGGATGCAGACCCCAATACGTTACCTGTCTTAGGGATGTCTGGTCTGCAAGTCAGTGTCCCTCTGGCACTGGTCATCTTAAGAGAAACACGGGAGAGGCATTTCTGGTCCTGGGTAATGCAGGAGAGTGAGGGAAGAGGAGCAATAGGTCCACTCAAAGTGATGTCTGTTTTCTGTTGGAGTTGCTTAACATAAGAATTTCCTAAGGCTTATAATAATAATAATATAATCCTTGGATTTGATATAGAGACATTTCAGATACAATGGAATCTGTCAGGGGATTGATATTCAGGTTCAGGAGTACCTGCAGCACGACAGGATGGCAAACGATAGCAGTAGTTTCTGTTGTTGCTAATTGTTTCTGCTGTCCCCTGTCCACCCAGATTTGAACTCTTTCCAACAGACGTCAAAATGGATTGATGATGTGCGAACAGAGAGAGGAAGTGATGTCATCATCATGCTGGTTGGGAACAAGACTGACTTGGCAGATAAAAGGTAGCAATTCCGAGTCAACGATCCTGTTCCTGAGTGAATGATTGAACAACCCTGAGTGAATGGGGTAGGGTTGGGTTAGTGTGGGCCACTCGGGAATTAACAGGTTCTGCAACTATTGTCTGTTTCTTGTACCATTTTATGTTTGGAGAATCACAAGACTTGGTGGACAGAGGTGCAAGGGGTAAGCAGGTTTCCCAGGGGTTAAACTAGCCCTTCAGATAGTCACTCAACTCGTCAGGTTTCGAGGCACTTGGCGAGACAGTTTTCATGCAGGTGAACTTGCATTTCTGGTTGCCGTTGTATGTGGCTCAGGCTGTAGCAAATTGCTAAAGTGCATGTTTCTAGCTTTTGCCATTTTCTGGGCCTGTCTAACTGTTACATTCTCATTGCTATACAGGCAGGTGTCTATGGAGGAGGGCGAGAGGAAGGCCAGGGAGCTGAATGTCATGTATATTGAAACCAGCGCTAAAGCAGGTTATAACGTTAAACAGGTATGTACATGTACACTGCCTGAACTTTTGGTCTGAGAATCAAATAAAATGACTAAAATGCAAGCCTGTGGGCAGAGCATGTTTCTGTGTGTGTTGCTTCAGGATTGCAGCAACTCCACTACATTGTTCTTCCCATCCTCCTTCCCTCTTTTCCCCATCCCCACCGCTTTGCTCATCTTCCCCTGTGATACATCTTTTGCTGTATTTCTGGAGGGAGAACTTGCGTTCAAACCCTTTTCTCCATTTCACCTGGTCTAATTACTCTCTTCTAGCTTTTCCGACGTGTAGCAGCAGCCCTTCCTGGCATGGACAGTGCGCCTGAAAAGAGTAAAGAAGACAGTATCCTACACTCACTCTCAGCTTGTGACAGGAACTTGCAATGGGATCTTTGTTTAACCATGAATATTAACCATAACCTGGGATCCTGTTTGTGTGTCTCTCACTTTCTCTGTCTTTCTCTTGTCTTTCTTCCTCAGTCCATCTCTCTGTGACTTGCAGCAGCTATATGGATAGCAGCAGGTTGCCTGTGTACGGAGGAGTAGGGCACGTGTGTTTGAGTGCGCTCTGTGGTTGGGTTGGAATGATCAGAGATTGCTGAAAGCATTTGATCTTTTTCTGTCTGAATGCTGTTTATTATTCCAGCAGCCTCCTGTGTATGTGCTGCGCTGCAGCTGCTTGTTAAAGATTCTGTTAGTTACATTGTGTGGGTGCATTTAGATATTTTCTGAACAGCTAGCCTCGAGGCAAAAGGAAGGTCTTTCTATATAGAATTTAGTGTAGTTATGGAGGGGGGTAGGGGGAAGGAAGAATGATAAATAACCTCCGCTTTTGCATTATCCAGAAAGAAAATAAATCTAATCTAATCTTTACTGTAAGCAAACCTGCGCTGCTTATGTTTTCATTTTCACATCGTATTTACTGCAGCAGTAAACACATGGAGTCAGCCCAGCCTGGCCTTTGTTTAGCCACGGAGCACTGTATCAGGGTGCTGCGTGTTCTTGTCCACCTTTTGGTTTGTTCTATTGAAACAAAGCAAATAAACCTGACTATTGTATTACTTGAATGATATAGATAACATGTGTTCCTGGGAATGTACATGGTGACCTCCCATGTGAAAGGCACTGTATCAAATGCAAGGATTATTATTATTGTTATTCTGTGCCATTATTAAGATTGCTGGATTGCTCTCTGCACTTATCAATAGGTGTAATTTTAAATCTGTAATGTAATGCTATTTTTAAGATAGAATTGTATTCAAGTTATTTATAAATATACGGAGTGGAGCAGAGCAAATCCTCTGGAAGGTTTTAGTCAAGCATTTCCTGAGCCAGGTACTATACTGCAGGCCAGGCTCATCAGTAGGACTTGGAAGGCCATATTAGTCACTGGGGCAGGGAATCCTCCCACTCAGCTCCTGTTAGCCTTGCAAGCCAAAGCCCTAAAGTGTAGAGTGGTCTGAGCTGGACAAGCAGCGGGAAAGCTTGCCAGACGTTGCTCTTAATGGCAAGCTATGTGGTTTTTAGCTGGTTAGACTCCAGCAATACCAACGCACATTCTAGGGTCTGAAACATTGGTTCTTGCCAACCTGTGCCTAATATTCTCCGGATTTACCTAAACAGGATGTGTGTTTCCAGGAAGAGAATGCATTCCATTCCAATAAATATCTCGGGAATTTCCATGTGTAGGTTGGATGCATACACCTCTGATTGGTTTGGATCCTCTTAAGCATGATGATCGGTTTTCATATATGTAAGACACCCATCTGATCCAAAAAAAATGAACTATACAGTTTTAGCTGGTTGAACTACAGCAGTATCCTAACACACATTCCGGGCTCCCAAGCCTTGAACCTTGCCAACCTGCACATAATAGTATCCGAAATTAGCAGTATTCGCCCCAACCCTCAGAGAAATTTCCATGTGCAGATGGCATGAAATATGTCGATCTCTCAGTAAAGTTTGGAGATTCTTAAGTACGGTGATGGTGATGGTTTTTTCACAAGTATGCGTCACCTGACTGACCAAAGAAAGAAAACTGCCTAACCTCAAGGATCTGACTCAACACCAATCTTTGCTTCCTCGTTACTTTCTCATTTAGGAAGGAGAAACGTCCTTCTCTTTTAGAATTATGCCGTGAGATCTTTAACGTCCACCTGAACAAATAGCTGGGACCTCCGACAATGCAACAACCCCCAGCACTGCATTTAGAGTGTCAGCTTTGACTGCGTGATTCTAAGTCCTGAATGCTTGACCGCATTCTGCTGCAGTGCCTTCCCTAATCCATGCGCCAAGATAAATGGTTAGGTCTGTAACTAGTATTCACAAGATCATACAATTAGTTTGGATGAAGAAGACCCTTCGGTCCACCTACTTCCTCTTTGTAAGAGTTATCCTTTGAGTCCCATTTACCTGACATCCCCATACGGCTGCAACTAACTCCTTTTTTATATGTCTTTATTTCACTGATCTGAGACAAATTCATACCCAGGCCCCATTGGGAATGGGTCAATGTCTAATCCACTGTACCATTCCATTCCTGGCTGCTTTATCTCGTTACAGATTTCTTGCTCATTGCTAGTGCTGACAGTTGTACTTATCATTGATCAGAACTTTCTAAAGATGGCAAAATTTCCTTTTTGTTTCCTTTCAGTGAGAGCAGTGGTATTCAATGTTCCATCACTTGTGAGAATCATTTAACAAATAGTTTAGTAGTTTGAAAATATTAATTTTTTTTGTAAAAGAGATTATTGTGTGTTAATGAATTTGCATTTTTGCTGCACTCTAGAAATTCAGAGAATTTTCTATTAATATAATGTGTGCTTGGTGAATATTTGTTACCTTATTCCTCTAAGTTATCTTGTTCAACGAAGAGAATCACTGAGGTAAGTAAATGAAAATCAAGTTAAATAAAGCATCTTCTTGCAGGACAAAGACCAGCTCTTTGATGAGGAAGATTACAAAGCATAAGTTACATGTGCAATTTTGCCTGCGAAATACTCATGGTAAATCCTGCGAAATGCTTTGAAACATCTGAAGCGAAAGGCACTATATCAAATACAAGGAATTAAAAAAATGTAAACAATATAATTTTAGCTATGTTTAATATATTTTTATACCTTGTTAATTCCATTTATCATCCTGGCTCAATTGGTAGCTCATTTATCTCCTGACTCAGAAGGTTGTGGATTCAAGCCTCACGTCAGGACTTTGTGCTCACAGTCTAGGCTAATGCTCCAATACAGTGCTAAAGGATTGTTGGAGGTGCCGTCCTTCAGATGAGATGTTAAGCTGAGGTCCGTCTGCCTGTTCAGGTGGACATTACAGATCTGATGGCACTATCCGAAAAGAGAAGGGAGATTCTCCTGTGTCCTGGCCAACAATCTCCGATAGAATTTTGTGGGATGCTTCTGTATGCAAATTGGCTGTTATGTTCACCTACAAAATATACAGTCACTACACTTGACAGTAAGCTCTGCAAAGTGCTTTGAGATGTGCTTCTGACATGAAAGCTATTATAGCAAATGTAAGGATTATTATGATTATTTGTTTATTACAGTAATTGATTTTCTTTGTTTAATTTCTTTTTAGAATTCTTTGACTTAAAATGGTAGTGTGGCTGGCTGGCACAGTGAGCCACAGTAGCTGATGGGCACAACACCTACAAGCTGTTCTAAAATCCCAGAATACTGTTCAGGAAAAGGACAATGCTGCTTTCTAGAGTTTAGTATTGACTGTCTAACCATGTTTTTGTGAAATGTGAAATCAGCTTCTAAATTAAAACCAGGTAAATATGAATATCCTGGTGCAGAAGATAATATTGGCTTGAATAAACCAACTCTGGGTACTGCGCTCTCCAACCTGCTGCATTTTTAGAATCAGAACAGGAATAAGAATCTTTTCTATATAGTGTCATATTTGTAATAATTAGCCCTTATTCTCCCTTCATCCACAATATAATTACTAATGCCTGAGCAAGCAGCTAAGAGGTCCTGATGCTGAATGACTAGGATGTGCTAATCAAGTCCTGAGCCATGAATTTGATCACATTCACCGATGCTGCAGATGGTTTCTCGTCACACCCGAGAGACGGGAGCTTCAATCCCTTGGCTCGCAGCAGAAACCACTGTAATTTCATTGCATTCTCTCAGGTTTGGGGGTTACTGTTGTTACCACTTAGCAGGAGGCTGCAGGGAGAGATATTGGCTGCGGATGCTGGTTCTGTCAGCCGTACAGAGAGGGCTGGGTATCTAATGCTGCTCAACCAGTGCTGCGCTCCACATTGATTGGTGCTGTCTGCGAGAGGTTGCTGGAGGGATGCAGTGTTACACCGGCCAGCATTGAGCGCTCTGCAGTTCCAGCGTTTGCCTCGGCTGCCGAGATCTGCCATTTACAGTAAGAAGCAGAAGAGACACCAGACAAAGAACTGAGATATTTTTTCTGAGTTTAAATTTTTTTTTTGTCTGAGTCATAAGGCGATCGATAACAGATTCAAACTGAACGTTAGTGACGGTCATGAAAGCCAATCTGCACAAGAACCACCACTGCTGCAAGTGCCCGGAGTGCTACGAGGCGACAAGAATGGCAGCTCTCCGGCGGATGGAACCGCAGACCTATGGTGACTGGCAGCACGAACCTTACGGATATGCCGGCTTCAGCTCGCAGACGCTGCCCTCATCCTCTGCCGCTGCAGGCAAGAGTAAAACCAAGCTCATCCCCACCTCTCGTGACAGTGGCCCGATTAAAAGCCAAAACAAAAGCATACCTAAGGTAAACGGCAACAGCGGGGGCTGGTGGCCGGAGTGCACATGTACCACACGTGACTGGTATGAACAGGTATGGGCAGTAACAATTTTTCATTCAAACCTTTTGCAGACATGGGTAGTGCGACTTGAGTCTGCTGCAGCACCAAGCTCCAATGCCTTTCTCTCTCTCTGGTTGGGTGATTTTTATGATCTATTTTGAGCTAGATGTCAATAGTGGATAGCAACCATCTCTGTTCACTTCCAATTGTGCATCTTAACATGAAGCAGTTGAAGTTGTTATTTCTAATGTGCATTGCGTGTCCTGTAATGGTACAGCACTGCTGACCACCATCAATATGCTGGGTCTTGCATTTTATTTTATTTATTGTGTGCTTTCCTGTGTTTGCAACCCATTTATTATCCACCGTCACAAGTCAGTGTTAATTAGCGTGAAAGAAAAAAAATAAAGGCAATTTTTAAACCTGGCCATGGAGCAAGAGGAAATAATGGATTGTCAGGTTGCTGACATAAGATGGAGACTGAAAAATCCTTCCCTCTACAGTGTGGATTGGAGCTCGTCACTCAGCGCAGAGATTTCTTACCAATGATGCTGGGAGGAGACGCCTGCTGCAGTTATTTTCCTAAATGCTGCTAACTCGCTGGTCAATTATTTACACAGAAAATCTTCATTTTTAGAGGGTTTACAGATTATATTTGCTGCAGATTTGAATCCTCCCTTTTTTTGTTTTATTTTGGGGATGAATGTTAAAGCTGGTGAGCTGTAAGATTCCCTTTTATAATAATGGATTATTTCCTTTGGGTGTTATTTCAGTCTCTCCCCCCTCCCCCACCATCCAACGCTGTTGATTGTATTGGGCGAGCATCCAGCACAAATGCTGTGCAGGCTTGTGTGCAGGAGGGAGCAGGGAGTGAAGCGATAGATAATCAGCATTCAGGGTTTGAGATCTGCTTAAAGCTAGGTAATGTCATATCATCCTCCTCTAATAGGCAGGCCACTGACAGCAAAGCACTCTGTTGCTGTCAACCACCCTTTGCACCAAGTTGAGCACGCTCTGCTGTTTAACATTATTTATCCTTGTAAATTCTTTCAAAATATAACCCAACGCCTGTTTCATTGCAATGTGTGGAGTAATCCGTGTGCGTGTGTGTGTGTGTGTCATGTCACTACTGAGCACATCACACATACCACATCCCTTAACCCGTGGGCTGCTGCATCGTGTAGGAGTTCACATGAATGCAGCCAGAGCCAAGAAGGGGTCTGCAGCTAATAACCACATACTCTGAGCTGATAAATCCACCCACATCTTCTGGGGTGGGGGGAGGGCTGAGGTGATTCAGTGACTGGCTGATGCATTGCTGCTGCTGAATTGTGAGGGATCAGGTGCCTGAGGCTGTCTGTACCACTGACTAATGATTGAAAGAAGAAAGAAAGCATTAGCATTTTTAGTGTTTCACAGTATTTACTGTCAGATGTAGTGACTATTTTGTAGGAAAACTCAGCACCTATTTTGCAAACGGCAGAGTCCTACAAACAGACATGAGGTGAATGACCAATTTATCTGGATTATAGATTATGTAAACTCCCTTTTCTAACAATGTCATGGAATCTTTAACATCCGTCTAAGAAAGGAAGAACACATCTTGGTGTAATGTCTCATGGCTTTGTTTCTGAAGCTTGTTCTTTTACAAGTTCAAATTTGTCTGAAATAATATTCAAGGTAATATTGCAATAATTGATTGGCCCACAGAAGAATATAGTATTAATAATAGCATTTGTTATAGCGCTTTTCACATCTGTAGGATGTCTTGAAGCTCTTACTGTAAAGTGTAGTGACTGCAAATCCTGCAACCAATTTGCACACAACAATGTTCCACATACAGCCTGAAGTGAATAACTGTTTTTTATTTGGAAGGTTGTTGACCAGGTAACTGGGAAGAACTTCCTTTTCAAATAGTACCATGGGTCTTCAATGTTCACATGGACAGGCAGACAGGACTGTCTTATTGGAAGGATAATAATAATAATAATAATCCTTGCATTTGATATAGCGCTTTTCACGTCGGGAGGACGTCCCAAAGCGCTTCACAGAACACACTGTAAAGTGAATTGACTGTATATTTGTGGGCGAACGCGGCAGCCAATTGCGCACAGCAATGTCCCACAAACAGTCGTAGATTGAAAATGACCAATTTAATTATTGTTTTTGGTTTTTTGGAGGGATTATTATTAGGCTCTGTGTGGAGTAAGGAAACTTGCCCAAGGTTTCGCCCTCTGCCTGGAATTGAACTCAGGTCTCTCACTTGCAAAGCGAGTGCTCTAACCACTGAGCTACAGGACTCCACTCCAGGATGGCACCACCAAAAATGCAGCCACCCACCTCCCCTCGAACTACATTGAATATCACCTAGATTTCTGAGCTCAGTCATCATGTGGGGCTTAAACTTAAAACCTCTGACTTAGAGATGAGTGCTCCCAACTGAGCCAGAATAATTGCTGTGGACAAATTGACTTCTTTGTGTCCCTAGAAATACAGTCACTACACTGAACAATAAATTCTTTGAAGCACTTTATGACTTTTCGATGATGGTGATAGGATGCTATATCAATATTTCTTTAAGTAACACAGATATATTCTAAATATGTTTTGACTCGATTCTGAAATATTCAGATAAATTTCATTATAGGTACTTGTTTTAGTTAATACCAACAATCATTTTGATAGTGACATTATTTATGAAGACATTTTTAACTTTCACAGATCATTTCTAATGGCTGTAGAGAGACTGAGATCAGAATGTAAAGAAGTTGCAAAATTAGAGGTTTAATAAACAGTGAAAGAGAAATGACAGAAAATCTGAGGCGAATGAGATCTTAGGTGTCATATACAATTGAACAGTTTCACACTTGGTGTAAAATAAAAACCATAGAATGTAAATCTAACCTGACAGTAAATTTCTGCAAGAAATTGAGAAACGGAGATATCTGGAGCAGATCGACAAATCTTTAAAAAGTGGGAGTTCAGGTAGAAACTGCATTCTGGGATTTATGTACAGGGAATGTCATTAAATACAAGTAAAGAGGTGATGGTCATTATGCACAAATCATTAATTAGGCTGAAGATGGAGAATTATAAAAATAATAATCCTTGCATTTGATATAGTGCCTTTTACGCCAGGAGAATGTCTCAAAGGAATCATGAGGTGAATGACAAATTTCATCTGGGGGACTCTTGGCCAGGACACTAGGAGAAACTCCTTTTCGAGTACGGCCATGGGATCTTTAATGGTCCTAGACAGGACCTTGGTTTAACATCTGATCTAAAGGAAGGCATGTCCAACAATGTAGTGCCCTCAACCCTGGAATGTGAGTTCAATATCCCAATGTGGGTCTTGAACCCACAACCTTCTAAGTCAGTATATACCATAAAGGTTGGCCAACAAAATATATTATCTTTATTGAATATTTCTTGATTTATGCCATCAATCAAGAAAGACTGAAAACACATTAATGATCAAACACAGACTTACCTAGACTCATGCAAGTGTTCGGTTGGGGTGGGGGTTGCTTCCTGATGCCCAGTGGGGCCACAGGTTGGCCACCAGTGTCTAAGTCAAAGGCAAGAGAGATACTACCTGAGCCAGGCTGACACCTAATTGTATGCAGTTTTGGGACTCGCCAAAGAAAGGATATCACACCAAGGACAAGATACAGCAGTCACTCCAATGAGGCCAGAGATGAAAGGTTATGGTTCTGATGAAACTTAAACTTGATTCTGAACTTGCTAGAACAGAGAAGGTTAAGAGGGCCATCTTTACCACCCCCACCTCCTCGGCCCCTAGCTTGGATGAAAGTGCTGACGTGAGATGCACTATATAAATGTAAATTTATATTGTATTGGGATAAAGCAGTACAATACAATCAGTGAAGCTGTCATTGTTAAACCCTTTGTAACCGAATCATGCTGAAAAACAATATTTTATGAAAATAATTAATGCAATTTACAGTATTTGCAATTTAGAATGGTTGTAGTTACCGTATATAGTTTGGAACAGCACCTTGGGACGTCCTCCCGACGTGAAAGGCGCTATACAAATGTAATCTTGTTGTTGTTGGAACATGACATATGCATGCAACTGCCAGGATGGTGGACGGCGAATTGGAAGCTCTTCTTTCGTCTAGCAATTCTTATGTTGTTTTAGTTGAACAGTGTAACAGCTATTTTATTATTTGAACTCGGGCTGAGTGACTGATCTCCAGCTCAGTAGATATGAAGGAGCAAGAATTTCAAAAAGATCTGAAATCAAACAAAACTCATTTGGTTGTGGTAAATGCAGTTTCCTTTTTTTCCCCCCGAGTGCAGGTGTGGTGAAGAACTAACTAGAAAGGCTTTGGCAGAATTAAGAGTCTTTAAACTTTCTCCCAGTTGTTCTGGAGGGAGATGGCTCCTTTTTCCTGTGAGGTAGTTTCACATGTCTCTCATCGGAGCTAGGCTTACTGTTCTCAACGAAGATGGTTGCTACAATTCACCTCAAACTTCCTGAATTAGACATTGGAAAATTGTAGCAGGATTCCTGCTTCTAATTGCTATTCAGTGTCACTTGTGGAGGTTATCAGCCTCTCAAAAAATCTTTGACAAAAACATTATCTCACTACAACTGACAAAGGTTTAATTCATGAAGGCTTAGTGAATAGAAGCTGCCTCTCCTTGCTGGACCTTCCAGCTTAGCTACAAGCTCCAGCTCATACAGGACTGTGATCTATGCCCTCTCCTGCACTTGGCTCTACAAGCCCATCACCAGCTTCCTTGCTAGGCTCCACTGCCTCTCTGGCTCTCAACAAATTAACTTTAACATTCTCATTCTGACTTTCAAATTTCTCCACCCCCTTGCTCCTCCCTACCTCTCCAATCTCCTTCAGCCTCATTCTCCTACCCACTCCCTCCAGTCCACAGGAAGGCTGAGTGAACAGAAGGCTGCTTTAATTGCTGTTGCACATGCTGTTCCCTCTGCCCTGCCATTGGTGGCTGAATGTCACCTTCATACCTCTGCTCTGTGGAACTTCCTCCCCAA